GGGCTTCGTGTGGTTCACCCGTTCCCGGGGACTCAGGGCCACTGCCTGGGCAGCAGGGCCGGGTTAGCCCCGGGGATCCCCGAGCTGCGTTCTGCTTTGCTCGCCTCCTGTCTCCTCCATCACAGAGGTCTTCCGTCTCCCAGCAGCGCTCCTGTTGTGACCTGAACGAGGGCCTGAGCTTTGCTGCCCCGCGTGCCACTGTCAACCCTTCTTGCCTGCCTTCTGACCCCAGTGAGCTCCCAAAGGGTTAGCTCCTCCCCTCAAGAAAAGAAGGATTTTGCTGACCCAGGGCTAAAGCTACGTCTGTCTGTCCATCTGTCTGTCCGTCGGCATGAGATCCCCCTGCTGAGCCCCGTCCTGGGTTTCCGGGGAGGAAAAGCAGAGCTCAGCGGGCTGGGGTGGGCCGAGGTTAGACAGTGAGTCAGGCTGAGTCTCATGACCGCCGGCTGGGGCCACACCACACCTCCCAGCGTCCGAGCTGCAAGGGACGGGAACCAGAGGCTGCTCGGGGGAAGGGACTGGGCTGGGAGTGCGCAAATCTGCACGCCAGTCCTGCTTGCACACCGACTAGCACGTGGCCGAGGCAGCGTTCCTTCTTTGAGCCTCAGTTTCTCCATCTGTCGAAGAAGAATGGGTGTGTTCGTTGGAAGGTGCATTCTCTGGTTCTCGAATAGTCTTTGCTAATTAGCACAAGGGCTGAGAGAAGGAGGGGGGAGAGGGAAGATGAGAGAGAGAGAAAGAGAGAGAGAGAGAGAGAGAGAGAGAGAGAGAGAGAGAGGAGAGAGAGACGTACAGCAGTTCTGCTTGAAGTCGTCCTGACCCCAGGGTCCCTCGAAGCCCTGGCCGATCTCCCTTGCAACACACCCCTCCCCAGGCAGGCCCACTCGGGAAAGCTGGGACATTTGGGATGTGTCAGCAAAGATGCTACAGGCCTGGTAAGGACGACAACCGACAGGGGCAGAGGACCCGAATCTCGCCCCCTCCGTGTGCATGGAGGCCCCTGCAAAGGAAGGGGCTGTGGCCCTGGGAGGACTTGTCCCCGGGGCCAGGCCGGGAGGAGAACCAACGTCCAAGGGCTCCAACAAGTCTCCGGCCGGCTCCCTCTTTGGCACTGTCCCCACCATGTCCTGTGCCAGCTCTTCCGGCTTCACCTGCTTCTCACCTTCCTTGCCTGGCACCCAGGACTGCTGAGCTGCCGGTGAACAGAGGGGGTTCAGACACTCCAGTCGGACTCACTTGAAGGCATCGCCATTGGAGAGAGCCCAGGAGGGCAGGGCAAGGGCAGCGCCCACTAGGGACACCAGGCAGTGTCCCCTGTGCCACCGCCACCAGCTGGACAGGCTGCCCGGCAGCAGGGACCCCTGCCTGCCTGCATGGGTGGGTCCACGCAGAGGCCCCCGGGCCGCTTGCTGGAGCCCATGCCTTCGGCCAGAGCCTGCGACACGGCCAGGCTGGGCCGAGCCTGGCCCCTCTCCTAGGCTGCTGCCGCATCGATTCATTTGGCTCCTGTTTTGCTGGGCATATCAATTTAGCGGGTTCCCGGGATGACTGTGTTTTAACCTCTCACCCTGGTCTAGACTCTGCCGGCTCCTGCTGTCCCGGGGCCAGGAGGAGATGGAGGCCCCGGGTCTCTCGGGCAGGCTCTGGAGCCAGCAGGTTTCCAGGAACGGAGACGGATGGCCCGACGGCTCCGCAGCCCCGCCAACCTGCCTCCCTCCAAACCGGCCGGTGAATTATTAAAGATGCAATCTCCTCTCATCTTTCCAGTAAAATCGCTCCCTGTGCCATGATCCGCTGCCTTCCTGTCACTGGCTAGCCCGGGGCCTGCGCAGCACCCTGCTTCATACACTCTCTCCCCACACCTGGGGCTCCCTGAGATGCTGGGCGAGGGCCGACTCCACCCTGCAGGGGGCCCGGGAGTCCAGGAAGCTTGAGAAATCGGGGCGGGGCAGAGGAGACAGAATCCTGGACCATTGGAGTCAACTGTTTCACAGCCCAGGGAAAAGGCGCCCAGAGAAGGACAGTAAGCCGCTCAGCGCAGCACAGCGAGCCCGGGGCAGAGCTGCGGTGCCATCACTAGGCCTGGGGTATGATTTCCAGGCTCTTTGGCTACTAGTTTGTCCCCAGCCCTGCAGCCTCGGGCCACCCACCGCCACATGGAGATTGTCACTGCCACCCTCCTGGCACTGTTTATTGTCCCAGGGCTTCAGCTGACGGGCGCGGGCAGCTCCGGGCTCTCTGCACAGCCATCGGGGACATGGAGCCTTGAACCCCAAGCACTCTCCAAGGCTTGCTCCAAGTTGGCCTCCCCAGATACCGCTTCCCTGAGTGAGCCCTGGAGGGGCACCCACAGGATCCCTCCTCTGAGCTCAGCTCCCAAGCACGAGTTAGGGAGCCATTCAGGGGTCTCCGGGGGCCTTGGTGCCCACCCCCAGCCCGGGCCTGGGCTGACTGCCCTCAGGCTCCAGATGACCACGCTGGGCTGGTCCAGGGGCCGAGGCCTGCCCAGCCACATCACCTCCCTGGACTGGCCTGGCCTCAGCTGCTCCTGGGCTGGCTGCTGTGGGAGACTAGGCCTGCGAGTGGCCAGAAGACCTGCAGGGGCCACTGTGGTCGCCGAGGTCAGATGTGGCCGTGCTGCAGGCAACAGAGCCCTCAGCGGCGGCGGGAATGGGCTCCCTGGGGCCTCGCCCTGATGCAGACCCCACGCCTGCTCACTGCCCACTGCCCACTGCCCACAGCGGGCAGCAGCAGAGGCCAGCCTGGCCAAGACACCCCACGCGCCCCTCAGCTTCACAGCCTGGGGGTTTCTGGCCCCTCTCCCCAGAGCTTCCTTGCCTCGCTCTGGCCTCTGAGACAGGGGACAGCGAATCCAGAGGAGACCCAGTCCCAGCCCCCGCTGCGCTCAGGCCCCTGAACCTGCGCAAGGGGCAGTGTGGAGCACTGTGTGGTCAGAGGCCACACTCCTGGCTCCACGCACCCCAGGCCGTGTGGTGCCACTGCACGAAGTCACTGCACCCTCTGTGGCTCTTGATTTCTCCTCTGCAAAGGGCGGATGGTGATGGGAAAAGCAGCGGCCGCTCAAGGCACACTTCTGCCACACACAGTTCTAGAAAGCAGACACAGGAGAGCTCACAAGAGGTTCTAAGGAGACTTTGGGGGATGGCAGAGTTGTTTGTTATCTTAATTGCAGTCATGATTTCGTGGGCATACACAGGGTGTATGTCCCGGGGGGTGTGGCACGGTGGGTTAAGCCGCTGCTTGCAACGTCTCTGCCCCATTCGAGTGCCGAGTCCCAGATGCTGCTCTGCTTCTGATCCAGCTCCCTAGGAGGGCAACAGAGGATGGCCCAAGTCCTTGGGTCCCTGCCACCCACCTGGGGACCTGGCTGGAGTTCCAGGCTCCGGGCTTCAGCCTGCCCCAGCACCACCACCCGCACACACATGGAGGGAGAACCAGCAGACAGAAGAGCTTCCCGCCCCCCGCCCCTGACACTCTGGCTTTCCAATACATAAATCTTTATTTCAAAAAGTGTCGCACTGTACACCTTAAATGTGTGCATTTATTTTGTGTCTTAATAACAATACCCCCAAAAACACTGTTTAGAAGTATCACACCGCGGGGCCGGTGCTGTGGCATAGCAGGCTAAGCCTCCACTTGCAGCGATGACGTCATATATGGGCGCCAGTGCAAGTCCCTATTGCTCCACTTCCAAACCAGCTCCCTGCTAATGCTCCTGGGAAAGCAACAGAGGATGGCCCAAGGGCTGGGTCCTCCTTTTTTTTTTCTCATAAGCCCTGTCCCTGCCCCCACCTCAGCTCCTCAGGGCTCACCAGGCAGCCGGCTCTCCTTGCTAAGGGTGTGTACACTTGACCAGCTCTGCACTGCCCCAGCAGCAATGGCTAAATAGCTATGTTTCATGCCCTGTGTCACTGCCCCTGCGTCCACCTGTGAATTGGCCATGTCTAGTACCTAAAGGGTTAAAGTCGGACAGCAGAGGGGCCGGGTGCTCGAGGGTTGGTGTTGAATGCCAAGTATTTTAAATGTCACCTGTCTCCGGCCACCTGCACCCATGACCCAGCCACCCTGTTGGGGTGCCTGTCTCTGGGACCACCCTCCCCAGCCCCCAGGGCAGCAAGGAGGGTCAGGACTCTGGGCTGGCAGAGGCCTGGGGCTGGCTGGCCGTGGGCTAGTGAGGCCAGCAGGGTCCATGTAGGAAATGACCTTGGCAGGGCTGAACACAGGGAACAATGCTGAGAAAGCCCGAGCCAGGAAGCCACCGGGTCACCTCGGTGAGGCGGCCCCAGGGGTCAAGGTCAGGCCCCAGGTCTGCAGGAGCCCCCAGAGTGGGAGACAGCGCCTGTGCGTGGGGTGCGAGTGAGGAACCAAGAACAGCGAGCAGTCTGCATGAGAAATGGCACAGCCAGGAAGAGACAGAAGCCTCTGGCTCTGCGGGTGGAGAAGACGCCGCCTGGGATGCCCAAATCCCACTTCTGCAGTGCCCGGTTCGAGGCCCAGCTCGGCTCCCCACCCCAGCTTCCTTCTGCTGCTCGCCCTGCAAGGCAGCTGGCGATGGTTCAAGTAACTGGGTCCCTGCGGGCTAAGTGAGAGATCTGGATGGAGCTCCTGGCTCCTGGCTTCTGCCTGGCCCAGCCGCAGCTGTCACGGGCATTTGGGAGGGTAAACCAGCAGACGGAAGACCTTTCTCTCTCTCTCTTTCTCTCTCCCTCTTTGAATAAGATGAAAAATAAATAATTCATTTAGAAATGAGAAGAAGAGGAGCCCCATAGTGGCAGGAGGTGATGTCTCCTAGGTGGCCCCCAGGCTAGGCGGGGCAGGGCCAAGCAGCCTGAGCCAGAGACTGTGGCTCCTTCTCGCCCCACCCCCACCCCATCAGGGGCTCAGGGTCCTCACCTGAAAGCTCCCAGCTGGGCCTGGGAACCTCACCTTGCCCCAGAAACAGGAGCTGCACAAATACTCCACCCAGCCAGTGGGGCGGCTTTCCCTTAGCGGGCCAGACGGGGCGAGGCTGAGACCACTAGCACTGGCACCCCTCCCCAGCCATGCAGGGCTTGCTAGAGCACCCACGGCCCCCTGCTCAGGGTGTGGCAGAGGGTCCCCCTTCACATCCCGGCCACTTCTGCCACCCCAAGAAACTGTGGGTGGTTCCGGAAGCCCCTTTCCACGGAGGGAGGCCTGTTGGGGGGCAGACCAGGCAAGCGATGCCCAGGCCCAGGTCATCTGACCTTTGGGAAGTCCCAGCCCTCTGTGAGACCCTGAGGGACACCACGCATGGCTCCTTCCCCTAAGAAAGCAATCATGCACTTGTAGACCTGTGTTCTCCTTGCCTGGCCTCCTCTACTCCTCTGCTCCTGATGGGTCCCTAGACCCTGGCCAAGGGCGCCAAGTCAGCCCAAAATTGCCAAAATCACCCCCTGTTGCAGGGAGCTAAGCCAGAAGCTCGGCGCGTGGCAGGTGCCAGGTGTCAGCTGGATGAGCGACTTCCCGCACCAGCGGGGCTGCGAGCGGGGACCACCAAGGACTCCAGGAGAAGACTCTGCAGCTTTGGCTACCAGGGACCCGAAGCTCCGTTTATTTCTTCCAGCTTTGTTCCCACCTTCCTTTTCGAGCCAGGCACGGGCACGGGAGGAAGGCAGAGATGCACACGGAGCCACGCTCCCCACTCTTGTGCTGCTCAGTCTGGCGTGAGCGCCAACTCAGACATCCACAGATGCGGTGGGCACGGATTCTGACCGGCCCCCCGGGACTTTCACTCCCTCATCTGTAAAACAAACGTAACTCTGCTCGTCAGCCAGCGTGCCTGCAGGAAGAAGTGAGACGCCGGCTGCTAAGCACTGAACGTTGAGCTTGGCGTGGCGCAGTAGGCGTTCTAGAGCTGTGCCTGGTGGGAGAAGCTGGTCAGCAGGGAGAGCCAGGCCTGGCAGGGGGCTCTGCAAACCCAGGCCCCCAGCATCCTGCCCAGCCTGGACTCTGGGTAGCCGTTCTAGAAGCAGCTTCCAGGCCACAGACTTCACTGGATGGGAGTGGAGCCCCGCCCGGAGGGTGAGCAGGTGCCCAGGGCAGAGACCCTGGTCCTGGCAGGGTGGAGCTGGAGCAGTCAGCTGGAACTGGATCCTGGCAGGGCCAAGTCCTTAGGACTGCACAGGTGTCCGCTTCTGGCTGCCGCGGAGCAGGGCCTACGGAGGCACCTCAGGGAGTTTGTGGAAGATGGAACTGAAAGACAAGTTTATTTGGGTACAAAAATTCTGTGAAATCCACACATAGCTGCTTCCTAGCACACAGTTTCCATGAATGTTTGGAAGACCATGCCCCATGCATGATTTCAAAAGGTTTTGCACCAACATAGACTTCATTTTTAGTTCCTTTGTCCATGAGCTTTCTGAAGGGTCCTCATCTATCAGACCAACTTTCACAAGAACAAATGGGGAGGGGGCGGCGCTGTGGTGCAGTGGGTTAACGCTCTGGTCTGCAGTGCCGGCATCTCATATGGGCACTGGTTCTAGTCCCGGCTGCTCCTCTTCCAATCCAGCTCTCTGCTGTGGCCTGGGAAAGCAGTGGAAGATGGCCCAAGTCCTTGGGCCCCTGCACCCACGTGGGAGACCCGGAAGAAGCTCCTGGCTCCTGGCTTCAGACCAGCTCAGCTCTAGCCATTGCAGTCATTTGAACAGAGAACCAGCAGATGGAAGACCTCTCTCTCTGTCTCTACCTCTCTCATTAACTCTATCAGATACATAAAATAAATCTTTTAAAAAAAGAACAAATGGGGGGGGGGATAAAATGCACGGACTGAAGGCATTGAGGCACTGTCTGGGGGCCAGGGTCCTGGAAGGGGAGGAATTGGAGAGGAATGCAAGGTTTGGTCCATTTCCCACAAGGGGAAGAATGGGAGGAGGAGGAGGAGGAGGAATAAGGGGTGGGGAGGGGAAGAGGAGGAGGGAGGGAGGGGGAGCAGGAGAAGGGGGGAAGGAGGAGCAAGAGGGGAGAGGAGGAGGGGGAACAGGATAAGGGAGGGGGAGGAGGAGTAAGGCAGGGAGGGGAGGAGGGGGAGCAGGAGAGGGGAGGGAGAGGGAGCAGGAGAAAGGAGGGAGGGGGAGGAGGAGCAAGGGGGGAGAGGAGGGGGAAGGAAGAGAGGGGAGGGAGGGGGAGAAGAGACAGAGGAGGAGGAAAGATGTGTGCAGCGCTGCTGCTCTAGACGCCACATCTCTTATCAGAGATCCTGGGTTCGAGTTCTGGCTCCACTTCCGACCCAGCTTCCTGTTAGTGCGGTGTCTGGGTCCCCGCCAACCACACAGGAGACCCAGGCTGAGTTCTGGGCTCCTAGCTTCAGCCTAACCCAGCCAGGCTACTACTGCTGGCATTTGGCAAGTGAACCAGTAGAAACAAGTCTCCCTCTCTCTCTCTTTCCCTTTCACATAAATAAATATTTAAAAATAAAATCACATACTTTAAAATGGTTTCCAGTTAATAATTTTCAATTTTTAGTTATTTTAATTTCATTTGAGAGAGAGAGATCATCTACCCACTGATTCTCTACTCAAACGCCTGCAACAGCAGGGGCTGGGCCAGATCAAAGCCAAGAGCCCAGAATCCAACCCAGGTCTCCTACATGGATGGCAGGGACCCAGGTACTTGAGCCATCATCTGCTGCCTCCTGCGGAGTGTATTGGCAGGAAGCTGGATTGGAAGCAGTGCGGCTGGGACTAAAGCGGGCACTCTGATACTGCATGTGGGTGTCCCAAGTGGCAGCCTAAGTGTTGGGCCACATGCCAGCCCCTTCATATGTCGCTAAGAAGTAGAGAAGATAGAGAATTTAAAGAGAACTGGAAATTTTCTTAAGTTGTCCAATAAAAATTCTAAAATTAAAAAATACAGTAATTGTAATGAACAATGCCATAAATGAGTTTAAGACAGATTCGAGCCGGCGCCGCGGCTCACTAGGCTAATCCTCCGCCTTGCCGCGCCGGCACACCAGGTTCTAGTCCCGGTCGGGGCGCCGGATTCTGTCCCGGTTGCCCCTCTTCCAGGCCAGCTCTCTGCTGTGGCCCCGGAGTGCAGTGGAGGATGACCCAGGTGCTTGGGCCCTGCACCCCATGGGAGACCAGGAAAAGCACCTGGCTCCTGGCTCCTGCCATCGGATCAGCGCGGTGCGCCGGCCGCGGTGGCCATTGGAGGGTGAACCAACAGCAAAAGAAGACCTTTCTCTCTGTCTGTCTCTCTCACTGTCCACTCTGCCTGTCAAAAAAAAATAAAAAAAATAAAAATAAAAATAAAAGACAGATTCTAAGTAACAGAGAATTAGTGAACTGGAAAACAGGATGGGATAAAATATTGAGACACTCAAGTACAAAGAGGAAATTTGATATAAAAGGGCATGTGGCCGGCGCTGTGGCACAGTGGGTTAAAACCCTGGCCTGAAGTACCGGCATCCCATATGGGCACCGGTTCTAGTCTCGGCTGCTCCATTTCCAATCCAGCTCTCTGCTATGACCTGGGAAAGCAGTAGAAGATGATCTAAGTCATTGGGCCCCTGTACCCACGTGGGAGAACTGGAAGAGACTCCTGGCTTCTGGCTTCGGATCCACGCAGCTCTGGTCGTTGTGGCCATCTGGGGAGTGAGCCAACGGATGAAAGACCTCTTCTCTCTCTGTCTCTACTTCTCTCTGTAACTCTGTCTTTCAAATAAATAAAATAAATCTTTAAAAAAAAAAGGTCAGGGCATAAAAAGATAATCACATTTAAAGGTACCTAAATTTATCCTGTACAGCAGTGTGCATGGTTTGGTGTGTGTGTATGTTGGCGTCTGTGTGTCTAGGCACAGTACCCAGCAAGCACTTAAGAAATGGGGTGGGGGGAGGTTCTGTGACGTAGCGGGTTCAGCCTCCACCTGTGATGTGCCAGTCCGTGTCCCGGCTGCTCCTCTCCTGATCCAGCTCCCTGCTATTGCACCTGGGAAAGCAGTGGCAGACGGTCCAAGCACTTGGAAGACCCAGATGAAGCTCCTTCTTGGCTTTTGCCTGGCCCAGCCCTGGCTGTTGCGGCCGCCTGGTGAGTGACCCAACAGATGGAAGAGCTCTCTCCCTGTCTCTCTCTGTGTAATGTTTCAAGTAAATCAATAAATCTTTAAAAAGCAAAAAAGAAGGAGGAGGAGGAGAAGACAAAGGAGGAGAAGCAGCAGCAGCTACTAATTGGTAAGTGGTAATTGTCAGCCACATGGCAAGGCCCAAGATGCTGGTGACAAAGCAGCCTCCGGGGAACAAAGGCGAGCAGCCCGGAAGTCAACAGACAGCAGCAGAGGAAGCCTCCCGAGCGGCAAGCAGAGCTGGGCTTCCGAGAGGCTGGGAGGATGCGCTGGAAGCCAAGATGGCGCCTTTGCACCTGCTGGCGCTGGGAGATGGGGGAGAGGGAGGGAGGCAGGGGCAGGGCTCCCGGGAGAGCCGGGCCCCAGGGAGTACCTTGGGTGAGCATCCGGGCACAGAGTGGGTCCCCTAGGTCGGAGAAGATGCTGAGTCTCTGTGCCGGCCCGATGTGGACCTCGGGCCTCCCGCCCGCCCGTGGGCGCTCCGGGCCCCGCCTCCCAAAGGGCTGGCACCAGTGTGGGGACGCCTCTTCCTCGGGTCGGAAGACGCTGCTGGGCCCCAGGCGGCAGTCCTGACTCCCTGGCCCTGGATGACAAGGCATTCCACCTTCCCAAGCATTCCATTGTGTTTTAAGGCAGTGCGGGACTTGTTAAAAGAGTAAATTTAGCTTTTATGGGGAGAAGCAGCCAGGCTCGGTCAGGGCGGCTGAGGCGGGGCCAGGTTTCCATGGCAACCCCCAGCCTCTCTGGATGAGCCTGGGAAGGGGCCTTGGGCCCTGCACCTAACTGCACTAACTGGGTGATGGCAAGAGCTCAGCCCACCTGTGCCTCACCTGTGAAATGGGTGCAACATGGCTAAGGATTCTCAAACTTACCCAGAGGGCTGTTGTGAGCGCCTCAAGAATGGCCCATCACACCCCTAAAGGACATGGTAGACGGTAGGGTCTAGGCTCCCACAGAGCAGGGCAGGAACCCCACAGAAGCCTATGTTCCCTGGTGCTGGCGGGGGGGGGTGTCGCCAGGGGGCTGAGGGGTCCTCGGGCCAGCACTGGCCCCTGGAGCCCTATGCCTCGCAGTGATGGACCTGCCCCGTGTCCTCGCTTGGCTGGACACAGCCTGCAGGACACCAGGCAGTCAGTGGGTTTTCCACAAACAGCCAGGGGACTGGGTCGGCTCTGCCCATAGTCGGAGGCTAGAGGTGCACCTGCCACCCGCCCCGGCCGCCTTGCTTGTGCCCGTCCACTACAGAGAGCAGCAGCAGCCTCTCTGCCCCTGTGTCCCTGGCTACAGAACACCTACCTCAGCAGGAAGCAACGAGGTGCCCATCACTCCTAGTGGAGAGCACAGAGCAAGGGTCTCGTTAGGAGGGCGGCACCTGGGTGAGTCCTTTTTTTTTTTTTCTTCAAAGACTCCAGATGCCTCACAGCACTGACACTGGAGTCGGGAGTATTATTTTAATAGACATTTGATCAAGGGCCCAAGGAACCTATAGTATGAGCCTGTGCCAAGTGGAAGGGGGACATGTCTTTTCTGAAATGTTCTGCTGGAGAGGTTACAACCAAACTCATGAAGAATTGTCTTAGGACTTGCTCAAGAAGTCCCTATCGGATGTGACTGCTTTGTGGCACCCCCCATGGATAACAGATATTCAAGCATGCGTCATCTGCACCAAAGGTGTGAGCTCATAAGCCAAGGGGCTATCTTCTTCCTTCCAGGTATTCTTGAGATGATGTCTGGTTCATTGGAGATCCCTAATCTCATCTTGGACTTTTAAGCAGCTCCAAGTGGACCGCAGGAGTCCAAGAAATGGTCCTGAGGTGGCATCCAGGACAACTTCTCATTCTCAGATGTGTCCAAGACCGTAGCAGAAGATAATTCATGTGATATGGCCTTTTTCAGTTGTCTTTTTTCTTTACAGAAGATTCCTGGGGCTGTTGCAATTCTCACTGGGTGCGTCAACCGGCCAGAACAGATGCCTTGCCCTCTTGTCCATCCTCAGCGACAGATCTGTAAACTGTGATTCCCTGTTCAGAAGAGCCTTTGGCTGAGTTGACCGGGGCCGAGTCTCTGCTGTTCTCAGAGCTGTCTCCAGGAGTTTTATGCAATATTCTCAGGACCGGCACCTGGGCGGTGTGAGGCTTGGGGAGCTGGGCAGAGGGAGGTGTTGACTCCAATGCCACTGCAGCAAGAGGCTCAGTCCACACGACAGAAAGCTCGGATGTTGGTCTGACCCTACCAGTCTCCCCAGGTGAGGCCCAGGGATTCCTAGGGAGGGAAGGAAGCCGGCAGCTGTTGATAGCACACAGACCCCTCCCACCTCCTCTCCCATTTCTTGTCCCTCCTTTCTACCCCTCCTCGCCACTTCCCATCACAGCGTCCCCAAGACTGGCTGTTGCCTCCTCCAGGAAACCTTCCTGGCTTCCAACCACCTCCCACCTGGAATCCCACAGCCCAGGAAGGCATTTCAGTGTCTGGATGCCTCTTCTCTGCTCCGTGTTGCACTCCGAGAGGCCCATCTTGCCTTCTCCCTCTCTGAGGCTTGCTGAAGCCCCTGAGTTGGGAGCAGGTGTCATGGCGTAGGGGTTAAGATGACGCTTGGGAAACCAGCGTCCCACAACAGAGCGCCTGGGCTTGAGTGGCAGCTCCGCTTCCAATCCAGCTTCCTCCTAACGCACACCCTGGGAGGCAGCACGTGATGGCTGAAGTACTTATGTTCCTGCCACCCACGTGGGAGACCCAGAATGAGTTCCAGGCTCCGTTGTGGGCATTTTGGGGGAAGAGATGGAAGATTCTTTCTCTCTCTCTCTCTCTCTCTCTCTCTCTCTCTGCCTTTCAGATAAATGAATTAAATTAATACAAAGCTTAAAGAAGTCCCTGAGTTGATGGGCAAGTGTCGGAATGCCAAGCCAGCCCCCTGGGCACAGCCCTGCTGCTGGATGGACATGGAGAGACTGTTCTTCTCCATGTGGCCTCAGAACACGCGAGCAGGTGTGGAAGGTGACCTGAGGCCTGAGCACCTAGCCCAGGCGGGCAGGCAGCATCAGCCCCACGCTGGGGCACAGGCCCTCGCCTGGGAGGAGAGGGAGGGGCCGAGCTTCCTGAGGCCCCGCATCTGGGAGGAGGAGGTCTGGGGCAGGGCACCTGGCCCATCCCCTGCCGGTGGGGGTCAGGCCGGTCGTGCAAGGGTGCTGTGCCCTCCCCAGTGAGGCGCGGAGGCCCCAGCTGCATGGCAGACTGTGTGCGTGTCCCTTCCTTCTCACGGCAGTCGCTGCGTGGGCCTGCGACACCCCTGGGGGGGAGGGACAGCGCTGCTGTTCCCACAATGCAGAAGAGGAACCTGGAGGCCAGCCCGGGGAAGTGCTTCGCCCAGAGTCACTAGAGGGGGTCTCCTCCACTCCCCCCACTGCCAGGGTCATGGGGATCCCAGGCCACGCCGACCACTCCCTCCACCCTGGGGCCCTGCCCCACAGGCTGGCTGTGGGCCACCTGCACCTCCAAGGAGACAGAGGCGTGTCCCTGACACACCCTGGACCTGGGCCCCAGCCTCTGCCACTCCCCGGCTCTGTGGCCTCAGGCAGGTCACTCCCCTCTCCTGGGCACAGGGGTGATGGCCAGAGGGTCCTTGCCCTGTGAGCAGGGGAGGGCTTGGTTTGGGAGGCCTGATGGGGGTGGGAGACCCTTTCCTCACTACTGGCAGCAACCCACCCCTGTGAGGGGACGGGGGAGTGAGCCTCCACCCAAGCCCTAGGACCCTGGGTGGGTCAGCGGCCGGTCAGGGCGGCTGGAGGGACCCGGAGGGCATAGCACAAGGTGCAGGCGGGTGTCAGGCACTCGCTGCAGGCCCACGTCTGACGCTCCCTTCCCTGGCCACTTCCTGCCAAGCAGCCCAGCACTCCTCCCTGCCTTAGCCCTGCTCTGCCTCTGTCTCGGTCCCTGCTTGCTGAATGAGTGAGTCTGTGAATGAATGAATGAATGTATGAATGAGTAAACCAAGGGAGGGGACATTTGCATGCAGGCAGTTTGGCACAAAGCTGAGTGCCTCGCAGAAAGGGACTGCCTTGAGCCTTCAGTCACGTCGGGTTAGAGCACCAGGGAGCTGGCCGCGTGCGCCAGGGCTGGTGAGCAGCTGATATCCGTGTGCGGTGCGGAGTGGGGACCTGAGGCCTTGGGGAGCAGCCCCACTGTTTCCAGACCCAAAGCCAGCCTAGCGTGGCGAGTCTGGCGTGCACTCAGAAGTCCCGGGGCTGATGCAATGACCTGGGCTGTCCACCTGCCCTCACAGGGGACTTAAGAACCCTTTCAGGATTTCACACTCTTCTTCCATTGTCCCCCCAACCCAGGAGCCCTGGGGTGCAGGCCTTCTCTCCCCACTTTACACATGAAGGGAGTGAGGCTCAGAAAACATGCTGTACTCCAGCGCATATGGGTAGAATGTGGTTGAGTCAGGATTTGAACCCAGGTCTTGCTCCAAAACCCTTCCTCTCCCCTCTGTACCTGAGTCCCCTTTGCCTCAAATGGAGGCCTTCCAGCCCCAGCTCCTCCCTGTGGCCCTGGAGGGCAGTGAGAAGCGTGTGACCATGGCCACAGGGTCCATCTGCAGATGCCATGTGGTTAGGCCAAATGCTCCGAGAAGTCCACCCAAGCTGTCTCCACCATAGCCAGCCCGGGGCCGGGGATCCCCCTTATCTGGGCACAGAGGAGGAAGTTAGGGGCCCCGGGTCTCAGCTCAGCTCAGCTGCCAGCTGGCTTTGTGACCCTCCATCTCCGCTGTCCCTCGGCATCCAGCCCTCACACTTAAAGGTGCACGTACACACACACACACACACACACAGCTTCCTGCCCTCCCCGCTGGGGTTATCGATCCCTCAGTTGTCCACCTTAGACTCCATTATGTAGTAAAGAAGTGGCCTGGGTGCACCAGAGACCCTCGCAGATGTCCAGACGTCTCAGCAGGTGCACCCCAGGTGCAGCCCTCTGGGAAAGCGGGGCCTGACCCAAACGTCACCACAGAGCCCAGCAAGCTCGTGTCTCTTAGGCTAGTTCTGCTCTCCTTCTTCTTCTTTTATTTATTTACTTATTTGAGAGAGTTACAGACAGTGAGAGGGAGAGACAGAGAGAAGGGTCATCCATCCACTGGTTCACTCCCCAAGTGGCCTTAATGGCCAGAGCTAGACTGATCTGAAGACAGGAACCATGAGCTTCTTCTGGGTCTCCCACGTGGGTGCAGGGGCGCAAACACTTGTGTCATCTTGCACTACTTTCCCAGGCCATAGCAGAGAACTGGATCAGAAGAGGAGAGGCTGGGGCACAAACCAGAGCCCATATGGGATGCCAGCACCACAGGCGGAGGCTTAGCCCCCTACGCCACAGCGCCTGCCCTCAGTCCTGCTCTTCCGACCTTCTCTCCAGTTCTTGTTGGTGGATGAATTCCTGAGCTCCTCTCCCTGCAAGGTCTCACCCAGGGCTCTGCCAGCCCCCTGGCCCCGTGGCCCCGGCTCACTGCACGGGGAAAGGGGGCGAGGGGCTGGCGGTCTGGAGTCAGACCTGCTCCCAACCTCTTGGCTGGTGACACCTGGGCAGGCTGCCCAGC